CCTCCCCCACGGTAAGATCACATCAGAGATCACTGAGCTCTGGTCCCTGGGGAGCTCAGTGCTGCTCCATCCATCTGTGCTGCTCATGGTAATGAGGTGATGGGAAGGGAGCCAGCATCCTTTGACTGCCGGCTCTCTCTGGACTCACAGGTTCTGATAKGRAATTAGRAAGAACAAAACATGAGCTCTAAGAGTCCATAGCAGGAGCTCAGRCCTGCACCTTCAAAACCAACTGTGCCTATGGACAAGCCAAAAGCCTAGAAATATTGAATCTGGTTCAATCCAGAGATAAATTGCTGGGGAAAAAAAAAATATTCCATCAATGTGATTGGTGCCTTAGGCTCTGTTCACTGTGATAATATTGACTTCATTCTCACTTAAATCAATTTGCCAGTGCTTTTTGCTACACATCTAAATCATGTACAGAAATCAACTGGAATATTTCCACTTACTCACAGAGAAGATAGAACAAGCTCTATTCCACAAATTATTCTTCTGTGATATGCCCACAAATCAAAAATTAATCGCTTCTTGATTTTGTCAACCTCAAATAACAACTGCTATAATTTTAAAAAAACATCCTTCCACAAGCCTATTCCTCCATGCCTACACTGACTGGCCTAAAAGCTATAAAGAATTTTAAAATAAGATTAGCATTACATATTCAGATTTGACTCTAAAAAAAATGAAATAGCATAAAAGGGYAGTACAATGTCACAAACTCAAAACTGTAGTAGTGCAGAAATAAGAACATTCTCAATCCATTGCTCTACAAAATTGCACTCTTTGTTTCTGTTTGCATTATGGTGACCAGAATGGTTTTTAATCCACTCACCTGACTCAGTTTGGGTRTGTACTCTGCAAACACACAGGATTCTCTCCCCAGGAGCCCACGGATCAAGGCAGTTCTTCCAAGCACCATGAACAGAATCCCAGTTTTGTCCAGCCAACCTCTCCATGCTCCAGCTTCCAGCAGAGCTGGGCTGTGATTGCCCGGTCTCAGAGCACGGGCAGGGTGTGCCCACATCCCACAGAAAACACCAGGCCCACACTGCTGGGAGTTTTGTGGGATGAAGAGCATTCCTTCCTCTGTATGTGAACTGCAGTGTGTTCCCTGGATGGACCATAAATGCAGCCAAACACACCCAGAAACACCCACTCTGCAGAGCTGTGCTGGCACACGCTGCTGAGGCACACAAAAACACACAACACAGTGCAGTAAAGTCATGCAAATGTAGAATATTGTCCAATATTATTGCTGCTATTGAAGGGTCCTAAAGAGATCCTGGACCTGAGGCTCAGCACAAATACATTGAAATACTCTCAGAGCACTCCAGTCTCTTCCTTCTAGAACCTGCACTTACAACACAGTCCCTGCACCTCCTTTATTTCCCAATAGCTCCTCAAGTTCTTCTTTGACCTCTCCAGGCCTCTGAAGATGYTGCCAAAGCAGTACCAGCCGCTTCCTCCAGAGCCACTGACAAGCAGCCAGGTCTTTCACAAGAGGAACACGCTCAGCCAAAATCCCACCTTTCCTCTATCAGCAAAAGCCACAAGGTACAGTGCATTCCTCATCTTCATTCCCTGAGATTCAAAACACTCTCTGCTCAAACCACAAGATTTTATTTCCATCACACCTCTGCTTTTACTTAAGAACACTATTCTTTAGACAGCTGTGAATAATTGAGGAAAGTGGTATTTAGTGTAATGTGACACTGGCTTTTTTATTTTTTTAAAGAACTGACAAAATAATGGTAAAGGAATAAAAAAATAGACAGAACTTTCATGAACATTTTGTTAAAGGTTTGTCCTATTTTTTTTTCCTCAGTAACATGTTTGCAACTATTTTAAGTGGAAAAATGCTATTTACCTAGCACAGTTTGTGAATCAAGTGATGGGGAAATAYACTGACTGCACCAGAGATACAGAAATACACTCCACATCCCAAGGACATTACAATCAGCAAAAGAAATTCCTCATCTGTAGCTGGAAGTCTGGATTCTGCCCATGAGAGCAATGAATCCAGACTACAAATCACTCCTTGCCCTTTCCTTCTTGCACTTCTCMGTCACACAACACCCACCCATGGTCWTTCAGCATCCTGACATGGCAGTGAGGAGGAACCACCTGAAGCACAAAACAGCCACGTCATGAGCCTTGTGGCTTTTTTCACTCAACACTTGGTCAGATGAGCATGTACAGCTCACTGCTCATWACCAGATGTGCATGTGCTCTTGCTGTGTGACCAAAGTGCACATTCATGATGGGGGATGGTGTTGGACACATRCTGGGAAGAGGAAAGACACAACCCACAGGGTACAATGCTCAAATCACCATTGGAAAAACCTCTAGTGGGCAGAAGCTGTGCCAATCCTGTCTATCCTTCCTGAAATAACTTCCATATCAGCTCATCAGGGTGGAATTTTGGTTCATTTTAGAGTTCACTACAAATCCCTTGGGAGGAAAATAAGCTTACAAACCAAGGAAATAATCTTTTGCTTAAAGTTAAATATATACTTAATGAGTGAGCTCTAATTATGGGTTGTTGTGGTGGGTTTTTTTTCCTGAATGGTGCTTAATTCTTTTCATGGATTATGTTCCAAAAGCTGTTGGTTGCTAAGACATTTTATTAATGTGAAGTAGCTTCATATTCAGATGCAAGGCCTGACACAGCTGCAAAATTCCAAATCCACGACTGATGCCCTCCCTTGGTAGGGCAGCACATAGATTGAAAGCTTTGTGAGAAATGTTATAATCTGTGCTGCCAGCAGTCATTAGTATGCAGAGCACTTGRATTTGAAAGGTCCTATTATAAAGCCAAATTCTGTAATATAAAGATATGTCATGTCTATTGTACCAGGGTTTTTAATCACATGAGTAAGGCAGAAGTGGCACAGAATAAGACCACACATGATCTGGGGAAGGCACTTGACAAATTTCCCACACAAGCACTTCACTCAAAGTATTTCTCACCTATCTTAAGTCCAGTTACAGCTTTGTAAGGAGARAACACACATATGAGCTGCAGAGGGAAGGAGTATGGCACTACAGATTACAGTCCTTTGCTAGATTGGAAGCAAAGCTGTCCAACCACAGATGTGATTTAGGAGTGCAAGTTTTCCAACAAGATTTGGAAGACTTATAAAATCTAACACTTCATTATTTATACACTCTATAAATAGCTTCATAATAAAATAGGCAAGTGCAGGATCCTGGAATGTATCATAGAAGCTTTGGTAAGATTTWAACTTTTACAAGCCTGTGGTAAGCAGGTCATGCAGGGGCCATGTCCCTTGGAGTGGAGGCCAGCCCTACAAGCACAGCTTTAACATCACTGAGCTGTACCCTGCACCCAGCATCCTGAATATGGGCTTTCACACATTCAGTGATGGCTCTGCCAACAAATTTGCAGAGGCTAACACAAAAGCAACTATCCAAATGCAAAATAGAATTTTGAAAAAAATTAGAAAACCCTTCTCCTAACCTTCCTGAAATTTTCCCCAAAGAGATCACTCCCAAATTTCTTGCCTCAGGCCTCCATGCTGATTGATGTTTTCAAAACAGACATGAGAAAGAGAGCTCTGCCACTGTTGAAAAAATGTTCCCAGAGTTTCCTATACCAAATCTTCCTTTTGTGTTTTCTCTGATTTAGAAAAATATCTCACTGTCATATTTTTCAGCCCARGAGATAGGCTAAACAGGGCCTTCCAAATCTCAGAGCCTTCCAAAAACTAGTAGATGCTTTCACACCTTATGTTGCTAAATAACTTGYAAAATCTGGTTGTCTCTTTTATTATGAGATACACGCTGCTAAAAACCAAAAGCTATCATTATCACCAGAACAGCTAACAAAAGATGACAGACTCAATACCTTGTCCCCTTTTGGAGGAAGAATATTTCCTTCCCAGGAAAGGATGATACTCCTGTTATCAGACATACCAGAAGGCAGAAAAATACCAAAACACCTACTTGAAGCAGGACCATGAGGAACATTGCCCTTTCTTCTTTCTCTGGTTTACACCTCCTTTCCTCTACACTTTCCATTCTGCCTCTGTTTAATTTTTAAAACTCTTYTTTCTTCAAGATCTTACTTCCATTTACAGCTGACTTTAAAGTGCATAATGAGATCTTTTGGCATGAGATGAAGAGTGTTGAAGCTGATATTCCTGTCTCTTCTTCCCCTCCTCCCAGTATAAATMCTTTTAAAAGTTGTCTTTTATCATAATGATTTCAGTAGATGCTACTCTCTTTTTAAGGAAGTCCAAAACATTCTCCTGAAAATGATTTATGTAAAAAAAAAAAAACAGCCTCTGAACTTTTCCAGCAGTAATAAAACCCTTCCCTTGGGTTTTATTAGGTTTATCCCAAGGGCTGTTAGTTTGCAGTRATGATGTAACCAAAAATATTTAAGTGACTTAATACTTGATTTTTATTTTATCACAATTAAATGTTTTGCATATTATTCTTTCTTTTCCAGACATCAATCTGTTAAGGAATCAGATGTAGTAAGTATTCATCTTTGTATGTGTTAGGACCATAAAAGCCAAACACATTCCACAACTACAAAGCCTCTCTTGTAAGAGTATTTTAGCCTATTAGGTAAAAAATCTGTAAGAATCATGTTAGCTTTGGGTCATAAAAATATCTGTCTTTAATGTGTGTTGCAATTTCTATACTGCTATTTCTGAACGAAGTAAGTTCCTGAATTTGTTTGCAGAAATAAAAACGTGGGTACAGTGCAAAGTTACCTGTCCAACTATCCACATAAAAGCGCCTCTCAAAACTGCCTGAGGTAGATGTCTGGGAAGAGGGAGCAGCAGGAGACACTCTGCTCCAAACAGGAATTCCACATACAGTTTTACAGGTAGAAAACTGGAATTATAAGGTCAATAGGGGAGTGTAACAGCATTAATGTAACATAAATACCTCAAAAGTAAGATGACCCATTTCAAGAGAAAACAAAAATGGACAAATTTGAAATCAAATTTTAACAGCRCCTGCTATCCTTCAGCTCCCTTTTCCCCCTCCTTCCCCACTCACTTTCTACTCAGACCAATGGAGTAAAGTAGAGGAAATGGTTTTAGCAATAAGAGAGTTTACTTATGATAAGTGGTTTCCTATAAAACTTATTAAGAATACAGACCCTACAACCATGCTGAGTGGTAAAGGATGTTTGTAAAATTTGTAGAGAGCTTATAATTTACTATATTTTTTGTGCTTCTTACTGAATGTTTTAGTTACTGCACTAATGTGTTCCTACTGAATTTTTTTTCTCATTAAAAGGAACAGAAAAAAGGAATCTGTAAGAGATAATCCCAACTGTTTCCTTCCACAGCATGTTGTAGCACAAATCTGTAGACTAGTCAAGATCTAACTTTTAAATCCATGGAGTTTTCCTTCTCCACAGTTCTGACTGGGAGGCTGTCCCAAACATCACACCTCTCAGGGTCAGAAACTCRTTTAATTTGAAAGATAGTTATAAAAGCATGGTTTGATAGCAATATTGTAATTAACACTTAATGCTAAAATAAAAAAAAAATATATATTGGCAAGAAAGGTAATGTTTTAACAAAAAAAAAGCTTTGTCTTGTTCTGGATACTGACCAAATATGAAAACACTCCCAAGGAAAATAAATGTCTTACAGCTGTCATTAATATTTCTGGCTGGACACCGTACAGCTGCACAAATACCTAAGCTTTTAACAGGCTCTTAGTTTGGCTGCATCTTAAGGAGAAATATTTTGTGCCTCATGACATGGAAAAGATAAAATTTAATTTTTGATCACTTCCCATTCATACGGATTTGAAGACCTGAATAGTTTCAGTGTGACCTGGWACAGATTGTACCCTTATCAGGGTTTCAGACACTGAACAGCAGGTCAATAGGTTTGAGAGAAGGACTGCCCTTCACCATAACTCAGGCTGCAGGAAAGGGTATTGAGGAGCCTCTTGAAACTGGAAAGGACAAAGGCAAAATMCTGCCCAAGAATGAAATTAACCCTCTGCTCAGCTCAGAAGGACCTGGACCAAAGGCTGAACATGAGCCACGGSTGTATCCTTGATGGCCATGAAGGTCATCATGAAGCTGTATCAACAGAAACATTGCCAAGAGATCAAGGGATTCCCTTTTACTGATCACTTATCAGACAACACCTGGAATATTGCTCAAGGCTGAAGCTGGCAGAGAGGACAGGGTCAGCACAGGGTCACCAGGACAGCCAGGAYCTGCAGCACCTGCCCTGTGAAACCAGGCTGGGCTGCCTTTGCCCAGAGAGGGGACAGCCCTGGGGGAACCCAACAGCTGCCATCAGTGTCTGAGAGATGAGGGCACTTTACAGAGTGCCCAGTGAAAGACAAAAGGCAACCATCTTGAAATGATGGGTTCAACCAGAAAGAGGGAAGAAAAATTAATTCTGAGGGTATTGGAAGAGGTTTTCCAGAGAGGCTGTGAAATCTGCATTCTGGGAGGCTTGCAAGAACCAGATGGTCAAAGCTCTGAGACCTCAGGTTTCATCTCACCGTTCTTGTGCTTTAAGCAGGAGYTTGGGCTAGGACTGCCTAGGTCTTGTTCCACCTGAATGAGTTGAAATTCCRAAGTAATAGGAAAACATTATTGGGGAAGTAACTTACAAGGAAGGCTCAAAGTAATACATCTACAAACTGCTCTTCTCTTCAACATTTACATGCATCCAAATAACAAACAAAATAATTGCTATTCCMATGTGAATAAAAATAATTCAGAAATACTGTGAAAGTTTATGACTCAAACTCTGGTCTTCAGAAACCCATCGTTCTTACTTTTATCATAATATGATGGATTAAGATTCTCCACATGGTAATTTCAAATGAAATATCTGTCATGACAGTAAAAATAATTGTACTGACAGTTAAGGAGCATGAAAAGAACTGACTGATTTTAATCTTTGATTGTGGTTATCCAATCTCTTGATACAATACATGATCAAGGAAGRAAAGCCATATTGTAAGTTAAACTGATGCAAAATAGCCATTATGAAATTGTGATCTTTGTAGTGGACCTCATGTTCATTTAAAGCACTAAAAAGTTAAATTCTCATTGTTGCCAGTGGACTGGGATCAGCATTCAGCTTGAGTTTTTGACAAAGTGACACGTATTAATGATTAATGTCTAWAAATTGTTTTAAAAGTGGCTGATAGTTGGGTCTGTTGGGGTAAATTCAATTTACTAATCCGAAGAAAAATATTTACTATGTTATCATTTTATATAGGCAACTGGAGGAGCACAAGGTCAGTATTCCATAATATGATAACAATTTGTTGTCTTTCTTTCTTTTATATTCCAAAACTAAAATATTTAATCATTGAAATTCTACTGAAGCAAGAGACATCCCCCAGGTAGATATCTGCTAAGAATGGAGAGTTAGAGAGACCTCAACAGCTGCTGATGAGTAGCAGAAAAAAAGGAAACTTAACTTGGCCTTAGCTACAGCCACCTGGGGGACTTGTCCTTGTCCACATTTGTCCTAAGCAAATGTCTTAGGGTCTGGGGAAAAATAACAGTGTGGTGTTKGTGCCTAAAAACACAAGGGAAGGATATGTAAAAGAGGACATAATCCTTCTTTCAATCTTGCTGCTCTACAGTTGTTTGAGGGTGAAAATTTTGAAATTATGTTTTTTAAAAGCTTTAGGCTTTTAAAGCTAAAAAAATTAAAAAATTAAAACCTCACTTTTTTTTTTTTAAAGTCAATGCTTTAGATACATACAGCTTTGAAAAAAAAAGCTTAAACCACTCACTGTGTCCATGTAAAACAATGTTACTCCAAAATACTTTGAAGATAGATACAGGTTACATAGCTTTTATGCTGTTTACACTTTGTGTTAATGAGTTCATCATTTCCTCTGGCATTTCCTTTAGTGGATTAAGGCACCATTTCCTGATTTTCAGCAAGAAATAGTAWTGACTGCATTAATAAATTCAATGCTTATCCTGTCCTATAAAAAGGATTTATGAACTCTCCACATACTTCTAGTCCAGCATTCTGCATTATTTACTATTATGTTAAGCCATATTTGGCATCAGCAAACCCTGTAAAGTCCCCCATGTAACATTCAGTACTGGTAGAAACGTTCCCCACTGAAATAATTCGCTGACTCCTTCAAGCCAGACTGATTGCAGCCCTTTAAGGTTTTTATTGAACTGCCTCACCCTCATGTATGAAGCAGGTAATTTATTTCACAGTAGTTATTAGATACTGTAAGTTACACAAAAGAGGAAATAATAAGTTCTTATCCTTTTTACTAATAGTTACAAGTTTGGGGAAGAAACCTGAAGCATCTTTTCAAGCACAACAGCATACTCCTCAAGCCAGGTAGGAATATCAGAATTTCATGAGTTTGTACTGAATGCTTCAAGGACTAAATATTCTGCCCAAGGAAATTTTACTTCACTATGCAGTAAGAGCAAGATGATATCGCTTTCTGATGCCAGGCAGTGATATATTGTGTTTTGCCCTGATGTATGACAAGAACCATCTTTGGGAATTGCTTTCAAGCTATTGTAATTGCACAGCCAATTTTTATCTTTAATAGCATGCTGCTGTATTACATTTCTGCTGCTATTTCCGTGATAGGGTGTTAAATATATTGTATAAAGAAGCTCTGCTATCTCCAGCCTCAGCATTTCCTCTCCCCCTCATTTTCTATTTTTATTTMCAAAGGACACACACCTGGCTTTTCAAAGGCCAAATATTCTTCCATAGAAATCTTCCATAGTTAGTCCTGTTTTACTTTTCTAACCTAAAGAGATCTTTCTTTTCTAAATGTATTTTCTCTTCAAATATGCAGCAAACCCCCAAAATATAGCAGACACATAGGAAGTATATKAATTATTTAACATCTTTCCTAGACAAATACATAACCTCTCATGTAATGTTGTTTACATCAGTGGCATTTCTCTGAGATAAAATTATTGTATGGAGTAGATATGACCATATTCGTGACCCCCAGTATTCTCTTTCTCAATGTGGCTCTGTTAAGTGAAGTTATTTGGGCAATGTTCTTCCCAGTGTAACACAACAAAATACTGACTGGGCACTCAGGAGCAGCCTAGAAAATCAGAACAGGCAGGGAAGAGCTGCTCCCTGGGTCTCCCTGCAGAGGGTTTGGGAATATCAAGTGAAATTAGCAGGGAATAAAAGCAAACTGCTTCATTACACATGCAGTCAAAAGTCAATTCCTATGGGGAGTAAAAAAACAAYAGTATACAACTTGAAAAAATGTCTGGTGAAAATTAGGAAAGAGAAATTTACAAAAAGACACTAAATACAAAATTACCACCCAAARCTTTTGGGAAGGCCCAAAGCTGCCATGAGGAAGAGGAAGTGGAAGCACAGTTACACTTGCTCTCTAATTTGACTCTTACACTGCCACTAAAAGAAATATTTTTCTGACATTACTTTCATTACTTTCCTTGTTTTTTCCTAGCCCTCAATGTACATGGAGATCTAAAAACATGTGCAGATCAGGTAAGAACCAGAGATTGTTTTGAAAGCCAACCTAAATAGGGAAAAATAAGATTAAGAAACACATTCAGGTTGCTATGCTTRCATGTCTGCTGAGTATTTTCAGTACACTTCCTACTGTCCTTAACTACCTAGCACACTTTTACTGTCCTGTAACTGCCTCTGAAAATGTCCTTTTTTATCAAAAAAACAAACCCCCTAAGCTGTGCCAAGAACTTAGGAGTGCATAATACAAACTTATGGTAAAAATAAATACCACCAGGAAGAAGATATGGGCTGTGTTATTTGTTCAGATCAAGTAGGATTCAAATTAACTTTGGTCACTGCCAGGCTGACCAAGCCCACCTCCCCAGCTTTGTTTCACAGCCCATTCAGGGCTTCCTCCACTGAGCTGCTTCCTTCTTGTGCTGGGGTGCAATTTCACACTCTCTTCTCTGGATAACTACTAAAAATTATTCTTCATCTGTGGGTCTCTGCTGCTGACACTTCAGACACTTCCTACCATCTGTACCACGGCTCTTGCTCATTCAGGCTCTCTGGGACTGCACAGCATCCTCCTTTTTCCTCTGTCAATTCCTTGCCCTCCTGAAGCAACTGGAAGGGAAAAAACAAGTACCCTTTCCCTCGCGACCTTACAATTGCCTTTAAAGTCYATAGTTGGCTCAAAAAAGTATTTTAAGAATATTAATTTTATTAAACTTATACTAATATCCTTTTATTTTAATACTGTGTAAGTACATGAGGGTTAAGTTTATGGCTGGACTTGATCTTAAAGGTCTTTTCCAACCTAAACRATTGTATATTTCTCTCATTGGTAATTTTAGCTTTTACTGTTGAAAACAAATTATTTTCTGTGCAAAAATCTAAAACATTCAATTCCTTGGCAAGCTGTTGTTAGCTTAATCTCAGCCAGACTTAGTACATGAGCATTGCAGAATTTTACCCTTCTTGTCCCACAGCTTAAGATATACCAGAAAAAAAATTCTGCAAAACACACACAGCACAGATCACAAAGCAGCTATGGTCCTAGGAGGGGGTCTCTAAAAAAAAAAAAGTTTCCAGGGATAGCCACTAAAAGTGCAATATGAACAAAATTGCTAAAATCATGATCCAATAAGCTGAACAGTAACATTTCAAATTTTGACAACTCAAAGTGATTGCAGAAACAAAAGGTAGATGTCTGGCCCTTTGAACAGTGATTTCATTAGTGAACAGACTRATTGCCTGCTGAAGGCCATGGCTGTTTGTCTACTGCTATCAGTGGATCTTGTTTTAAAAGTAAATGTAATGCTGTTATAAATCAGAACGTGGTACATATGTGAATGGAACAGTCAAATACAGTGAAAACCATTTCTCCTTTGTAAAAGAAATTGTTCCAAGTAAAATTCAATATTGTCATATGTTACATAGCAGCATAACAATCATAAACTGATAAAGGACGAGCAGATAAAGCACAATGAAATACYACTCTGACAAACAGCACTGTCCATGGTGACAGTAACCAGAAGGAAAAGATGGAAGCCATTGATAACCACATTCTTCTCATTTATGATGGACACTGGGCCATTTCTCCCCTCAGCATTGCACGAAACAAACAAAACAGTTTTCTGTTATACAGCAGAATATGTTTTTTTTCTTCAATTAACATTTCTTCCCTGTCACATATCCGAAAATTACATTTGATCTTTATATTGAAAGGAAGCGCTTGCTTTTCTCAGGCTATTTCTGCTGCATCCTGATCAGAGTTAGCTAAACCTCCCATATTACACGACTTCTTGTGTTCCTGACCCAACCCCTGCACTTGCACAGCCCCACAGAGACCTGGGTAGCTGGGGCTGGCCGATAAAGGGCAGCCCTAAACCTACAGACAGCAAATCCCATTTGCTTTGGGAGAAATGTTCCAGTTATTCCCGGCCACGGTATGGAACAGGCACACAGAGCCAAAGACCAACACTTCCTTGATGCAAGAGCAACCTCGTGCCTTGGTCCTGAATTTGTTCATTGAAACAAGTCACAGAGCAGACTGAAATTCATCAGCACAGCAGAMCTTCTACATCCTCTGAGGTTTCAACAGCTTGGTACAAACAATGCTAGCTGGCAATCGAATAATGAAGGGCTTTAATATGATCCAATATAACAGCAACTGAGTTACAACACAAAGAAAAGGGGCTCAGAAGATGAAATTAGAACAGAATGAACCATTATCCTTGTCCCATATTTAGTATTTTATTTAGCATTTACTGTTTTATTAATAGTTTATTATTTTATTATGTGCCTGTCAGATTGAAGTCAATTAAAAGCCATCAGGAAACTAATGAGTTAAATCTCTGGGGGCATTAATCTGAAACCACWGATGCTGCATTAGCACAAGACCACACAGAAATGACAGCTCTGAATTTTAAAAGGTTAATATYACAATATTCTATTTCTAAACTAAAAGTGTTATTGTTGAAATCACTAAGTAAAACATAGTATAAAATTAAATTAAAAGTTTAAAGAATGCAACCTTTTTCCTTCTGAATTTACTTTTACAGGTTCCACATTAAGTGCAGATAATTGGACARTGAAGAAGCCACCACTTCCTACATCATATGTACCATGCAAAAATAAATCAAAACATTTGCTTGCAGAACAGGAAGTGCAGTCTCTTACCCAGCCCACTGAAAAGGTAAAGACCAGCTTTGCTTCATAAAAAGACAAGTTTTTAGGGAACAGGATTAACACTGAGCCCCTCTGAAAGCTGTGGATATTCAGCATCCTTGAGAAAGTCCAATATGAGCCTTGAAACAATGGATAAAATTGTTTAATTTCATTAAAAATGGATAAAAATGTCTAATTTGATTAACACTTCCTAACAGGACTTCTCAATATAGRTGCATTTTGATTATATATGGTGCTGAAGGTGCTTTAAACACAGGTTAGATACAAACTATTTTCACCAGTTTTTGCTTCTGCCAGTTGTTGTTAATTTTTATACACTGATTATGTTATTTTAAAATTAAGGATTTAAACCARTGTGAATGGTACATTGGAGAATATGATCGCCATGAAGCAGAGAAGATACTGTTACACAACAACATTGTAAGTAACATTTACATCAAAACCTGGGAATTAAACTCTTGGGTAAAAATTTATGTAAAATGTCCACAATGGCTTACAAGTTTTATTGTGAACTAACCATACAATCTGTAATTTAAATCTGCATCGTACAGGATGAGACATTCTTGATTAGAGATTGTTCAAAGAAATCAAAGGCTGAACCATACGTTTTGGTTGTTTATTATGGAAGAAGAGTATACAACATTAAAGTCCGTTTTCTGGAAGAAAGCCAACAATACGCACTGGGAACAGGGCTCAGAGGAGAGTGTGTAAGTAAAATCCCATCTGCTYTTACAGTCTGTAGCTTTTATGTCAGACAAGTTCTTAATACTAAATATTAGTTACAAACTCTCCCACACAGCAAACCTGCTGTTTCATTAAAGTTTCTTTTGCAATACTCTCATTTCAAGTATGTCTCAAGTTTCAAGCAGCTTCAATATAATAATTTAAAAGCAAATTTTGCATACCATGCTCAAATTCAGATTTAAATAATGTAAAAAATTCTAAAGTACTTACAATACTTCTATCTACTGTAATTAACACCTCCAAAGTAAAAGGAAAGAGAAGTTCYACCTTTTCCTGTATACATATAATTTTAGCATATTTTTAAACCTGTGGTAATTTGAGCAGGCATTTTCAAATAGATACAATTCCACATACCTAACAGCAGAACCTGGTGCTAGGAAGCAACAGGACAACAGTTGTCATGGATATTCAGAAGCAATTAAATCATGTGGGTCCCCAGCAATCAGTCTTTCAGATATGGTAAATTTCAATTAGAAAATCTCTTTAGACTAGCAATGCTTTTTTACATAATTAAATTCAATTATAGTCAYGATAAGAGTCTAATTCTTATTCTAYATRTATGGTTAAATAACAAACACTGTATCTGCAAGTCTTTCACACAAGAAAAAATAAAACATT